AGACGGTGAGAAGCAGCAGAGAACCGACAACGGCAGAGAATCAGCAGTGGCAGAGCCAGGAGACCAGCGCAAGACAGCACTGGAGGTGGCCCACGGAGCAAGAGAGCTAAGTGCTTGTGCACAGGAGGCTTCCTGGCGGAGCGGGGTGCCTCTGAGCACTTACTGGTGGAGCTAGGCTTGCCGACCCACGGAGCAAGAGAGCTGAGTGCCTTCCGGCCAAAGCTTACTGGCAGAGTTGGGTGCTTTCAGGCACTTATCAGTGGAGCTACAGAGGTTTGGAACACTTGCCCCAGCAGGGCAGATGCAGGCGGTGAGGCCTGAGGGGCCAAGAGGCCTAGGAACCGGGAAGCAGACGCTAAAGAGACAAGGAACGCAGGAAGCCGAGCTGCCTCAGTCTCAAAGGGTATGCCACAACCTCTGGGGTTTCAAAGTGTGGAGCCGTGGCCTCTGGTATTTCTCAGGGTGGAGTCACCACTCAGATGTACTAGGAGAATGGTGCGCCTAAAGCTGAGGGGGCAGAGTTGCTGTTCCAGTGGGCCTGGAAGGCGGAACTGGATCCCAGAGCTGAGGGACCTCCACTCAGAATCTGGAGAGTATGGCCAGTACCTAGAGTCTGGAGGGCAGGGCCATTGTTTGTATGGTCTCAGAGAACAGAGGATTATTTCCAAGCCTTGAGGGCTAATGTAATGTGTTCTACTGACTTTGTTGGTGCCTGTTATGCCCTTTTTTCCTCCAGTTTCTCCCATTTGTAATGGAAGTGCCTAACTTGTGCCTGTTCCACCATGGTACTTCAGAAGCCAATAACTTGTATTCTAGATTTCACAGATGAAGAGGAATTTTTGGATTTTGGACTTGGAGTTAAGACTTTTGCTATGATACGATGGAGTGAATATGTTTTACATGTGGCAAGGACATGAATTTTGGGGGGGGCCAAAGGGTGGAATGTCATAGATTGAATTGTGTCCCCCAAAAATATGTGTATGAATTTGACTAGGCCATGATTCTCAGTATTGTGTGATTGTCCACCGTTTTGTCATCTGATGTGATTTCCCCATGTGTTGTAAATCCTACCTCTATGATGTTAATGAGGTGGGATAGGAGGCAGTTATGTTAATGAGGCAGAACTCAATCTGCAAGATTGAATTGTGTCTTGAACCAATCTTTTTTGAGATATAAAAGAGAAAAGCGAGAGACAGGGGGACTTCATACCACCAAGAAAGCAGCACTGGAAGCAGAACACAACCTTTGGACCAGAGGTTCCTGGGCTAAGAAGCTCCCAGACCAAGGGAAGATTGATGACAAGGACCTTCCAACAGAGCCGACAGAGAGAGAAAGACTTCGCCTGGAGCTGATGCCCTAAATTTGGACTTGTAGCCTACTAGACTGTGAGAGAATAAATTTTTCTTTGTTAAAGCCATCCACTTGTAGTATTTCTGTTACAGCAGCCCTAGATAACTAAGAGAAGCACCTTCCAAGGTCTTGTACCTATCTTGCATTTGTAATTTTGAATTATTTATCTAAAAAAAAAGTTCCCAAAGTTATAAAAGCTTCTGACCCGACAAAACTTGGTTCTACTCCTCCTTCTAAAACCTTTTCCTTTAATATCATTGCTGGCATATTTTAAAATAACATGGCTCTGAATTAGATTTTGCTTTTTTTTCTTTTTCCTAATTAATTACAGTAATTAGAGATGAGAAAAGTATTTTAATTAGCTGAGTTTGGAATATTAGGTAATAGTTTTCTGGTGTGCTTTTGGAATATTAAGTTATAGCTTTCTTTCTGTTGCGCTTTTATTGTCTACAGGGATTTTATGGATTCGTATTTATTTTTTATTTTATATAAGAGCTTTGTATGGAATTAGACTGCAATTCTATTCTGTTTTGCATTTTTAAGAAGAATGTCTTTTCCTGAACTTGTAGAAAGGATGGTTAGGTCAGGATATCTTTTCTAGTTTAAAGGTTCTAGAATTCCTTGTTTTGTTGTTTTTGCGAAGTATGTGAAAATATGGCCTTGGACTTTATTATCTCCTGGCTTTGTTGTCCTTAAACTCCCTTCCCCCATCCCACCCCACTTTTGACTGGATCTTCTTTTTGCTTTGCTTCTGTTGTCCCTTTCCTGCTCAATTTAGAATCTATTCCCAGCCGTTTCTTAATCAATGTGGGACTTTGTTCTGGAAGGAGGCTTGTGAGAGTTCATAGGGCCCAGACTGCTCCAATGCCTTCAGATGTCACTGGGTTCCCCTTACAGTTACTCATGAGTAGGCAAAACCCTCCCAGTTTTACCTGCTTTTCTCAGATTGACCTGTCCCGCTTTCCATTAGACTGTTTTGAGGTTCTTCTGTTCTTAGGTCTGGAAAATTCTCCATTGATCCATTCCACACAGATGATATACCACATGAATCTTATAGCTCTTGGTGATTTGTCCCCATTCACTTGTACTTTTGGATTAACTTAGGTACCCTGTCTGTTTTGTTATAGATGTCATCCATGGGTTTTTGGTTTTGCTAATTTAGTGCTTTGTTTTTATTGAGGGGATTTGAAATTATCAAAACCTATGCTTTTGCCACCTCCATCTTGCCAGAGTTCCCTCTTACACCAGTATAATTTTAAGGTAAAAATTCTATGAGTTAAAAAAATATTTATAATTGCCTTCAAGACATGTCTGAGGCTTTTCTCTTTTTTGTGATTTGTTAAAAGTAAATGCTGTCAGTAATATTAATGGATCCATGACCACAGGAGATATATTTTGATTTTTCTCTAGAGGGGAATGGTTTTTCTTTGTTACTTTTACAAATAATGAGGCCATAAAACCCAAACCCGCTGCCGATGAGTCTATTCCAACTCATAGCAACCCTATAGGACAGAGTAGAACTGCCCCATAGGGTTTCTAAGGATCAGCTGGTGGATTCGAACTGCTGACCTTTTGGTTAGCAGTCAGCCTCTTAACTGCTGTGCCACCAGGGCTCCAACAAGCTCATATGTTTCAGTTTTTGTGCCCCAATAATATCAGTCTATATAATAATTATCATTTATAAGGTACTGTTCACATTCATGTTTTAGTTAATAGTCACTACACCTCAGTGAGCGGTAGTGCTATCAATTTAACCAAAATAGAACTCTGAGAGCATTAGTAAGATGCAGTTGATCTCTTTAGTACTTTCCAGTTCTGTATGACTCTAAAAATATGTGAAAAGTCTGTATAAAAAGGTATTATGACTAATAGTATAACTGAATTTGTTTGTTTTTTGTCTTCTAAATTCTCTAAAAAGTACCTTGGGAGATAGATTCACTATGCTTTCACATATATGCGTGGGTGATGGATTGATGAATAGACAGATTTTGCGAATTTATTAGATACCTAAATCCCTTTGAGTGCCTGTGCATGCGCACACACATGTACACACATACATACACACACATGCACACACGAATAAATACAGAAAAATCAGATGTATGTGTAGTTAAATGGAAGTATATTATTAAATGATTATTTTTAGGTCATACAATCAGGCAATTACGAATAGATTGTGGATCTGCGGGTAATTTTTGAATTTTAATCTTTAATCTCCTCTACCATTTATACCCTCTTCAAATTTAAACGTGCTTGATATGTTAACTTTTCACATGAAATACAATTTTGGGATTTTTTTTTTTTATTGTTGTAGTTTAAATGAAGTTTACATTTCAAGTTAGTCTCCCATACAAAAATTTATACGTACATTGTTATGTGACCCTAATTGCTCTCCCCATAC